CTTCTAATTGTTCCTTGAAAAATCTTTGATCTTGATAATAAGCAAACATAAGAAGCATAAAATTCCACTTAATCATATAACTTGTGATGTATTCCCCAAAACTATGGTGATCAAAGAAGTTTAAGATCAAGTGAAGTTGAAGAGCAGAGGCACAAGCAATTCAATATTCTCACCTAAAAGACTCCTCGATTTTTAGATGCTTTAAAAAATATGTACTCAAGTATTTTTATACATCATGTAATTCATAGTCTATATTCAATACTGAGTAATTTAGAGAAATCTAGATAGCTTTGTCTATTTCATATACAAAACTAAAAAGAAATCTTTAATATAGAGAGCATTTGGCATTGTTTAATGAGGTGACAGCAAGAATGTTACACTTGGATTGGGAATAGGTATTACCATTTTTGCACAGATATTTCAAATATAATTTAAAAATACCAAATTAGCATTGAATCAGATAAGATAAAAATATTTTAATAGTTTTATTTAAGAATAATGACACACTTGCTACTAACATATAAGGCATCAAAAACATAAGAAAAAAGCTGTAACCTCCATGTTTGCCCTTTATAATAGCAAAAAGCACATAACAGCATCAAATTGGTCATAAACGTGGAATTAGAAGCACAATAAGAAGCAAAGAGTAAAATCTTCAAACACAGTTGAGGGAATACCTCATATTTTCTTGGTTTGCACAACATTTGTTTGAACTGGGTTAAGATACATAGAGATGCAGGGGGAAAATAGGCTGGCTGAAATACAGGCACATCACTAAAACTTGGGAGCAAAGGAACATGCTGCCTACATTTAGAAATTATTTTACCTAATTTATGGGTAAAAACAAGTTCTAAATACGCCACACTCTTATGAGCCTGAATTGGAAAGGTTAAAAAAAATAAATCAATAAGCATTTGTGGGATGCTGAACAAACAAAAACAGAGTTTTGTAATTATGGCATATCATTCTTAAGTTGATTCCAAGTGCTTCACTCATGACCTGTGAAAGACTTCTCTGTTCTTAAAATCAACATTAAGGCATGCCAAGTTCCTGTAAGAAAATTGCTTTAATGAGAGCTGTTGGTGGGATGTTAAGTTCTATAACTATAAACTATATCCTAATATATACACAGACTTGTGCATATAAACCATGAGCACACTCTTACAGAAAAGCCACAGATTTTTGAAATCTGTTAGTGTTAATGGCCACAGTCAGGGAAATTACTTTCCAAAATGTATGCCCATAAAAGCCAGGAGAGAATATCTCAGAATACTATACAAGCCATAAAGTAATGTAGCTGAAAATAAGCTAAAGAATGACTTGTTAATGTCTGTCTTATGACCCTTACATCAAGAAAAGCCAGTCTGACTTGCTTTTAATTATTTTTAATCACAGCCAAGTTTTGGGAAAGGTTAAAGCTGTTCTTTTGATGCTGTGGAATCTAGTTGATGTTAAGAAGTCTTGCTGCAATAGATAAACCACTGGTAAAGATTGTGAATTTCTTTTGTCAGACTGTCTTTCTTGTTGTAGCCAGTTACTACAATGGAGCCTGACCTTCAGATTGAAAAATGTAGTAACATGTAGAACGCTTTATGTTTAAATGATTGATCCAGATAAAATTCTTGTGTCTGTCATGGCACATGTGAAACAGGAAGGGAAAAATGTTCCCAGGTGCCTAGAATGTAAACAGAACCACTTGTGTTCAAACTCAGTTCTTGCTTCAACTAGAAAGGAGCTCTTGCCTTTAACTTTCCAGTAGTAGGTAGGGGAGGAAGAAAGCACTAATGATCTTGGTAAGGAAGTTTCCTTGTCAAAATTGAAAGACAAGTGATAACGCTAAACAAATTGGGTCCTCCAATCAGTATATATGAAGATGGACCTGACATCAAGGCAAGTACTTAGGTAAGTGCAGAATAATAGACATACCAGGAAAGTAAACATATTCCCCAGCACCCAAGAACCTCATGGTTCCCAGCAGGCCTGAATTCCTCTAAACCACAAGTCAACTATTCAGTATGAAGCCTGGGGAGAAGGCATTCTTCCTATGAATGGCCAGTACATTCTATTATAAGGTCTGCATCAGGAACTCCAAATGCCTGTATCTGTGAGGACACACAGTGTTGCCAAAAGAACTCTGCAAACTTCACCACAAACAGTTTAAGGTGTCCTAAAAGGAACAGTTTATTTAAAATTTACAAGAGTTCATCGTCCACTAGCAACATTCCAATAGAAAGGGGGAGGGGCAGTGTTTCACTGTTGGTCTGCACTGTTGAAGAAGAGTTGCCATTGAGATTAAAAAGATGATTGAGCTGAGACTTCTGAACCAAGTCATTAAAGCAAAGATTTTCTAGTGAAGATCTAATAACCATAACCAACTGAGATCATAATCAGCATCATGCTTATGCATTTTATCAAGAATTCAAGACCAATCCCATTGTCTCTTAAAATTTCTCAGAGTGTGGCCAAGGTACTTTTAGTGCCAAAAATAGCTTGTTTTAAATTGAAAATCATAGTGCAGAGGTTCAGAACTATTTTGTTTGTCCTGTTTTTACTTTATTAGAGTTTATTCTTTGTAATGCTGAGGATCCTACACATGGCCTTCACATATGCTAGGCAAACACTCTAATATGAAGCCACATTCCCAGCCCTGATGTTCATTTCAAACTCAGTTAATCTTTATCTTGAATTCAGGCACTAATAGGATGGATGAGGGCTATGCAAATAAAATACCTGGGGGAAAGCTGAGTAAGGCAATAATCTGAATTATTTCAACTCAGTCTTAAAGGAATCTTCTAGGTGTTTTTCTGAATTAGTCCCTTTTGATGTCATGGTCTGGCTTCATAAAAGCAGGACCTTAAAGGTTATGCTTTGTATTTAAGTACATTTTGTGAAATAATTACTTATTCACTCTCAATTTTAAATTTTCTTTGCAAAAATGACATTTTAAGTGTGCTTGAAGATTACAACTCTATTGTTTTTAGCACAGCAATATTCATAAATGTTGGCCTTCTTGAATATGGAAAGTTTTGTTTTTCTATCATCAACTTTATAGAACTGAAAACATTTCAAAATGTTTCTCAGATTCATCCTCTACCATAAACTGAAAATCAGACTACTAGTTAATTCGGTTTAGTCTTCCAGTTGGCTAGTTAATCTCACCAATAAGTGAAAACAATATTCAGCTGATCTGAGGAGTCTCATGATCTTTGAGGACTAATGTTGTCGATTTTAAAATGTGTTCAAGTGTATTTTTCATTAAACACAGCTCAGATCTATTCACTCATCCAAGCAAATCATTCTCTCTTGCATCAATCTATCATCCAATAGAATTCCTCCAGAAGGCTAGACCTGGACAATTCAAAACTCTCCAGGACATGCAATTTATAATGCTAGTAAGATAGGCCTAACATACATCATAACATGAGAATCACAGGAAAGCAAAAAGTTCATTCAAGATGCTGAGGAAACCAGTTTCAGAAAAGCAAAGGGAATCTGAACTACATCTCTTTTCCTATGATGCTCACATGGTTTTTTCCTTCTTAACTAATTGCTCTTCTATATAGCTCTCCTCTCTCTCTCTCTTTATGCATTTCTCCTTAATTCTTAGTAACTCACCATGGACTTCACTCAGCCCACTGATCTGACTTCCTGAAGTGCTCAATTGCACAGATACCTTTCATATTATAATTTATAAGCAGTTGGGCCTTACAATGTATAAAGATACCACTTTTTCATTCTTCCCCTCCACTATTCATACTTATTACCAGCTCAAATCCTAATGAAAAACTTATGCTGTAACAAACTAATAAAAATGACTATAGCAGAAGGATAAGGAAATTTCAAAGAACTCCTGCACAATGCAAAATATTCCTGAAGCTGCGTTCCCCCTCCCTTTCCCAAATGACTGGCATACTGAGGCAGCATCTGTAGGCACACAGGACATGTCACACAACTGTGACCACTCTGTACTATTTATGAGGCAAGAAAAGACAGGGACTGGATCTGAGTGAGGAGGAGGTGAGGGATGCTGATGGATACAACTCCACCAAAGGGATAAGTTTGATCTTTCTCTTTCCATGGTAATGTTTTTGGTTGTGTGCTTAAGGGCTTCCTAAGGCTATGGCTTATTGTAAGCAAGAGCCTGCTAGGCACAGTTCTCAAGAGTCTAGCTGCAATTACATTAGAGGTTTTCTCCAAACACCAACAATAAAACGTTACCTGGGAACATGCCAGAGTGAATCATGACTCAGACTTGTCTACATGTTTAGATGTCTGGAGATAAATTTAAAAGTCTCCTGCTTTGCATCTCTGGTGTGAGAACTAGAAACTTTCTACCACACCGGTGACCAGGATGACGGTCAATATAAACAAAAAGGAATTATGTCAGCAACATATTTTACTTTGCTTGGAGAAAGGGCATAGACAATGACAAATATCTTGTGCTAACATAGTGAGCTAATTTCTCATTGGTGTTATAAATGATTTATATAATTTTATTAAACAGTTTAACACAATGACATAAGTGCTGTTTTGAATATAGAAAAAATTTAAACATAACATTTTCATAGTTTTTTTTAAAATAACCAACATTCCTAAGCTTCAAAACCCTCACATCAAAGTTTGTATTTTAGTGTTTAGCTTATAGGAAGAAAAATTTAGTAAGAAAAAAAATAAGCACCTGTGAATCTTCCTATGGGATTAATAGATTGGCAATCAATTTCATTTTATGTTGGACCACGAAGTATCCTGAATCATAGCCAATATATTTGTACACTGGGTCATTTGGATGATTTTTCTGTACATGTAGGAGCTCAAAGTCATTACAGATTAATGAAATATTTTTTTACACTTCTTAGAAAGACAGACGTAGCTGGTTATGGTTTGTTAGGTTTTTACATGGTTTTTCTTCTTTGCTTTTTATTTTTTGTTGGTTGTAGGACTTGAACTCAGGGCCTTGGCACTGTACCAGAGCTTTTTCACTCAAGGCTAGCACTGCTACTTTGAGCCACAGTGTAACTTCCTGGTTTTTCTTCTAAATAGAAGATACATGGAGAACAACAAACAACAAAACAAACAAAATAACCCACTCACTGGCTGTTGATTTTGGACAGGAACTTTTCTTTCCAGGCAAACTGCACTATTAACTTTGAGAGAACTATTATCATTTTTTTTTTCATAATGCCTAGGCAAAATTCTCATGATGTTCATGAGCAGAATTAACTTTGAACAGCAAGAGCATCTTCTTCTACCAAAGACAGTTCCAGGGTGTTTTCATTGGTGCTGGTTTTCATCCTGAAGTTGAAAGAACCGTAGAGTTTTGCAGACTCTTTGGAAGAGGCAAATCTGTTCCTTCGATAGAGCTCACCCTTCCACATAGACATCATCAACAAACAGGACAGGACAACGCCCCCAAGAGTGAGGAGGCAGAGCCCCGCAATCACACAGCGGTCCAGGTGAGCCCCCAGCTTTGCACTCTCTTTTTCTAGACGTTCCATCTCTCGGGCGCCTACTGTGTTGGGATCCACTGTCACTTCCCGTGGGACAATGTAAGATATGATCACCAGCAAAATGCCGGTGACTAAGAACAAGATGGCACTGATGAAACCATAGTCCACTGGCTTCCCTGAAGACGTTGCTTCTGAACTTGTATCATCTTCATCTTCAGATATCAAGGAGATGGCAGCCTCCTGGGACCACTCATTTGGATTGCCCCAGCCCTGTTCTCCAGGGTTATGACTCCCTTTTGCTGAAGGGGACCTCTGGATCCGTTGCTCCAAGTTAATATTCTCATCCACATAGGTAAAAGAAGTTTCCAGTTCCTGGCTGCAACAGTTGCAGACTTGCCGTTCTCCAGTTATTTGGCTGTTCTCTGAGTCAAGAGGTACTGGTGGGAAGAAGTTTGGCTGAACCACAGGGCCTTGCAAATGGGATGACGAGGATTCTGGAGAAAGGCTAAGTCTAGATCCTTCCATTGGTGTGGACATACAGTGTTTCTGATAGCAGTAAGAAGCTCTAATGGCCACTGCATCTGCCTGGTCAGGCCTTGCTGAACTCCAGTCCCCGGCATCACAGAGGTCTGCCTGGCTGCTGTTCTTAACAAGGTTGTGGAGCTCCATGGGAGCTAGTTAGTTATCCCCCAATAGCTTCCAGAACTCTGCCAACAGCAACAGAGATAGATAAGAACCCAACAAGAGCTAGAGACCTACTGCCAGGGGCGCTGCCCTTGAAGTTTCCATATCCGGTGCAGCCATGGTGGTCTGTGAGTACCCCAACCCCAGTTCCTCCTAGAGGTGGTACAAGAAAGGATCAGCAGCAAGAGTGTGTGCAAAGGCAAATCCTTCGACTTGTCACAGGGGAGAGCAGTGAGAAACTCAGGTCAGAGTAGAAAAGAAGCTGGGAGGAAGTGGCAGTGTCTCTGGAGAAAGCGTACTGCTGTCATTAACCCAAATTTATCAAGGTCTCACACATTCCTGTGCCAGGATCCCCTCCAATGAGAAGGTAGGTTTCCTGTACAAAGATACAAACAAGAAAGGCACAGGCCCTTTTCAGCAGAGCAGTTGAATGGCTGGAGAAGTTGGGGGAAGCAAGACTTCTTACCAATTCAATTAAAGTGTGTGTTGGGAAGCGATTCTAACAGAGATTTGTTTAATGAGTGTATGTTCCTCCATCGGCTGGGTGCCACTGGAGCAAGGGCTCAGCAATTTAACTCAGCAGTCCTGAAGTAGATGAAAAGGCTGGCTTACGCAGTCACTTCTTTTAACCCTGTAACTCAAATATCTAATGACTCAACTCAGCCTGGGAGTCTGTTTATAAGCCACAGCTTCCATTTTGCCCCATCCCTTCCATGATCCTTGAGGGCATCATGGGCTAGCTGTCAAAGTGCACACTTCAGTGTGTAAGGTGCATACAGCTTACTCCTCCACACACATACACAGCCCACTCCATCTTGCCTGTCTGCTATTCCAGCCTCACTTGCTGAGTTCCAGAGAGTCTGTGTTTTTCTCTCTCCCTACAGTTTACTAACAAGCACCAACAAGCTATTAGCCAGCCAGACCATTTTACAAACTCACTCTAAGAATGATGATAACAAGAGGCAAATTATGAACCCATAGACTTCGGTGGGGGACAATTGGGTGAGGAGCTCTTTCTGAGGTCACTTCTGGAACTTCCTCTCCAGGACACTACCTGCCATCCACCGCAGCATGGGACTTTTGTGGAAGGGAACTCTGGGATGGCAACAAAGCCATCTGCCCATCTTCCTCCGCTCCTGCCATCTTCCCGAATAATAAAAATCGACTTTTCTCTTCCAGTAAATATAGGGGTTTTAACCAAGAGCTCTTTTAGTTTGTTTTAAAATCCAGGGTGATAATAATTGATTGTAATTCATGGCTGGAGGCTTGGCACACTTCAAAATCAACAGCTTCAACAGTGGATAACAGAGGAACAGTCAAGGCTCAATTAAGTCAACATAGTAACACCAAGACTCAAAACTCAAAAGTATAGGAGAAGGAATATATATATATATATATATATAATATGTATAATATACATAATGTATATACGTATGATGTGTATATATACAGACATATAGCAGGAACATATATGTATATATATATGTATATACACACATCTAGCTAGCTAGCATCAGTCTCCCCTGTTACACAATCCCAACTACAAGAGTTTCCAAGTAAGAGTTTCTCTGCGCCTAAACAAGTAAACAGCACAGCATCAACAACAAACAACCTGGAAGTGAAAGAAGACTACCAGGGAGGCAGAGCTTTCCCTCAGCGAGTGGATAAAATCCCACGGAAAGACCTCTCAGCCAACAGAGCCCTGGCAATGGGTTTCATCAATTACTGAAATGAGCAATGCTCTCGCGGATCTCCCCAGGCGTGCGGCACTCCGATTGACCTTTGGCACCATGAACTAATCACATTGGACTCTTGCGGATGCAAAATAAAATCAAATCAACAGGGTCCGTTATGGGACCTCCTCCCCATTTTTTTTAAGAAAGGGGAAGAGAAACAGGCACCCCAATTCTTTTCTTCTGCTTCTATCTCGGTGGGGGGAAAAAAGCCTCTTCTATTGGAGATAAATAGCCATACTACAGTCGATTTCCTCTGCGGCTCCGCGAAGCGGGGCTTCCATTTCTCGGAGGAGAATGGAGATCCCCGGGGACCAGCCAAAGGTCTTTTCTTCCTTCCCTCCACCTCTCCCCCACTCCCGCCTCCCCCCCATCCTTCCTCCCTCCCCATTCCCTCCTCTCCCCCACTCCCTCCTCCACCCCACTCTGATTTTTTTTAAAGCCGGTTAAGGAAGACTGCATGTCAGGGAGAAGACACTTTTCCGGGTCTGTCTGTGGTCAGTTAGGGGCAATCCGATCCGCAGGGGAACTCGGAGACCGCGGCAGGGGAGGCAGGGCTGGGGAGACCGCCTGGGACGGGTCCCGGCCGAGGAGCCCCGCGGGCGCGGCGGGGCAGAGCGATCCATTCCAGGTGAACGCGGCTCACACCGACACCGCAGTTGGCTGCGTCGGCGGAGGTCCTGGAGGCGAAGCGGGCACCTCGGGTGGGGAGTGGAGACACGCGCCCGGGCTCCGCCGGGCTCCCCGCGCGCCCCGGCGCCTCCTCTCCATCCCGTCCCACCCCACCCCATCCCATCCGCCGCCACTCACCTCGCTCGGCCACTCGGCTCGGTCCCAGCACCGCGCCTTCGCTCCAGCGCAGATCCCCGAGAAAGTCCCCGCTCCCCATCCACAGCACTTGTAGCCTCCGCGCGCCGATGGGTTTCGCCGGTGGGCAGCGCCCGCCTTCCCCGGCGGGGCGGGGCGGGGCGGGGCGGGGCGCTCCCTCCGGCTGAGCATCCCGGGAGATGTAGTTCAGGGCCGGCCCCTGAATCCCTCCTGCTCCCTCTCACACCGAAGCTCCAGGTGTTGCTTTTCCTGAGCTCCAGTTCCTGCTACCCCCATCCCACCCCCAAACACACACACACACACACTCCCGCCTGGCCTTCTAAGGTGCGCGTGGGCTCCTCCAGACCCAGCTGTGGCCACAGGCTTGCGAGGAAGGAAGATACAGTTAGTTCTAATTGTATCAAGGAAATAATGTCATTATTGTTATTATTATTTTCTTATTTAAAGGTGGGGAAGCAGACTCAGTGCCGATTATAATAACAATAAATAGTGGCAGCGGCCTCTAAAATTGTATCTAGGAGTAAGGTTCCAAAGACATGGCCTTTCTTAAGGTTGACATGAAAAGTGTGTTACAACAATCAAGTGGCTGGATACAGTTAGTAAAATACCTCCTTCCTCAAGTCAAGACAGTGTTTTTCCTAACGGAGAGATCATCTCAACCGCTCAGCTTGAATTTTATTTTGAAAGAATTATCAATAAAAGTCCTATCTCTACTACCCCTTTTGTTTTTCTAGAAATTCAAAATCTTTTAAAGAAAGACAAAGAAAACTATAACCATGAGAAACATTTGTTTTGTGTAGCAGCAGTCTGAACTTTAGTTGTTCTGTTGAGCAAAGCTGGAACATCTAGAAATCGTGGGTAAAACCACTTCCTTGAAGACATGAAAATGTGATAAGGTAGAAACCCAACTGAGCTAGCAGCAAGAACTGCAAAATGAGATCTAAGGCCAGTGGGGGTCTTGGAGCTTCTTTTCACTTGGGGGATGCCCCATATTCCAAAGCTGACAGAGGCTAGCCCCGAGTAATGAGAGTAAGGGTTGAACCCACCAAAAGGAAGAGCTGTAAGGAATTCACTTCATTCCCTATACTTTGGGTTGGAATCCTGAAAAGTTTCAGCCTGGCAGTATGAAACAGGAGTTGGACTGACCTTCACAAAATATTTTTGCTTAGTTTGTGAATCTCCTTAAATTTTAACCAGTGTGATTCTAGAGTGCAGAATATTGCTTGGCAGAAGGAAGTGTTATAGGTCTCAAAACCTGCAGCAATTTTTGGGCCAGTTTCATTAACCATTTTGGAAATACACTAAGTAAAATATTATTTTATGAAAACTATGAAGGAAGCTTGTCTCTAAAGGATATGTAGCATAATCTATGCAAGATTTTCAAAATGATAAAATTATAGTGTTGGAAAATAGCCTGTTGATTTCCCTAATTAGGGATGGTGGGCGATGCTGGCATAGATGCGATTACAAATGGGGACTGTGAAGGAGATATTTGTGGTGACAGGAAAGTTGAGCATTTCAAGTTTAAAAAAATGCATGTGAGAAACAAATGCATGAAAGAAAAAAAAACATTTAAATACATATCTTAGGGTTCATTTTCCTAACATCACCTTATCTGACCTTTTCTGCTTTGTATGTCCCTCTCCCACAGTATAACCCCTGCTTTCACTGTATTTGATGTCGGTACAATTTGTGGAGGGGAAGGGGAAAAACAAGTCGTTTAAATAAGGATACAGCTTTACCCATTGCAACAATGAGAAGTACAAGTTGTCATGTTGAAAACGAACTTTACAACTTTGGTGGGGGGGTGGGGGGAGGATTGGGGGGGCTTGGAAGGGATGGGAAGGGGAAACAAAGGAGGAGGCTACAATGCTTGATAAGAAATGTACTCATTATCTTGCCCATGTAATTGTAACCCCTCTGTACATTTTTTTCACAATAAAAAAAATGCATGTGAGATGCCTTCATGTTCAGTTCTATACCTGGGTGCCCATTCATTGTCTCACTTTAATCATGACTGTGGTTCTCTTCTTGACTTGATCTTTCCTGTAACAGGAAGGGTATTTTACTCTGGACTATTTTTAAAATATAATTCAGAGGTATTTAAACTCTTTTTACTCTCTTGCTTCCTGTTCAAGAGATACAATCTGGGTTATGGGACAATTATTGCCATGAACTTCCTTATTAAGGTCATTAGCAGCATTCAATAATTTACCCACTTATTCAACAAATATTAATTGTCATCAGGTTCTATGCTAATGGCTTGGAGATAGACCAGTGAACTGAATGGAACAGCCTAACATTCAAGGAACTTACAGTGTAATGGAGGATGGGCCAATTTAATAAGTTAGTAAAACATAATTTCACAAATGTAACAGCAAAAGAAATGGATAATATAAGAGGAACATGTAGAAAGAACACCCA